ATAGTTCATCGTGACAGTACTCATATTGTATTTTGTTTTTAATTGTGTGCAAATTACAGTGACATGACTGGTGTTCAAAACTACACACAGGTTGTCATCAGATAAAGCCTATGTGCCTAAAAATAAAGCTGACACATACACCGGTTCACAAAAACAATACATACATTATTAAATGAAAGCTGGTTGCAAATAAAAAAAAATGAAACAAAACAAAGTGAAATTCATCCAGCAGGTTATGGCGGAAATAAATAAATATAAAATTGTGTAGCGAAGTATCGCTACACCTGTTATGAAGTGGGTTACTGAGGGGCACTGAGCAGCGATCGCTAGAACGGTTATCTACCGTAATGGGCTCATATGCTAACATAGGCAGCTATCTATTAGATCGATGCATTCATTTCGAAATAGAGAAGAAGTTGATTAAATAGCCACTAATAATTGTTTTATTCCAATGTTAGTACCAAAGCCTATAGGCAACTTGATGATAATGTATTCTCAATACTAAATATAATATTAATAATAAATAAAAGCATGAAATTGTGGCAATTGTATGACAAAGAGTGTAGGGAAAATAAAATTACATAATAATAATGATGGTCATGTTATAATATTATATTTTCCAAAGACAAACCTCAGTTTGGGAGGTGACCCTGAATTAAATATAATTAATTATATAAACAATAAACATATTATTGTTTATCCTCTTTACCTATTGTAATATAAATAACTTGTTTTGGTAATTCAAAGGAAAATAAACACAAATAAAAGTGTGAATAAGAGCTAATTTAGAGAACATTACAATTACTATTTTTTTTTTTATGGAATAGGAGGTAAACGAGCAGACGGATCACCTGATGGTAAGCAATCAGCGCCGCCCATGGACACCCGCAACACCAGAAGAGTCACAGGTGCGTTGCCGGCCCTTTAAAAAGGAGTACGCTCTTCTCTTGAAGGTTTGAAGGTCGTATCGTCGTATTTATTTGTATAAACTAACTTAATCCAACTCTAATTTTAAATATAAATCTATCACTCGGACAGGTCGTATATAACGTATGTATGTAGACACAGCCCATATAAAGACGTAGGTACTACTAACATACATTCATGTAACGATTATGAACTAATTGAAACACGTTATGCATAGAAATTATCATCAAGCAATAAGTTGCTCCATGTGGCATATATGTTTATAGAAAAGTTGTCAATTGCATGCACTATATAAGTTTATTATAATTATACATATAACTATCAGTTTCAGTTTATCTAAAAACAGAGGAGGTACCAACTACGGATACGTACCTAGCATATTTAATAAAATAACATTATCTGAAGTAAATCTTTTCTTAAGTATTTTTCCAAATTGAATATAATATTTTAAGTAAATAAGTACGGTACGTAAATGGTTTGTAACTTGACCCTTTACTTAAAGTGGGTAAAAAATGAGAAACCTTAGTCAGTGCAAAGGTAGACCGGGCAAAAAATTACCGCTTAAATTAATAACGGGTTTTAGAAGTACCTACTTACTTGTTTTTTTTTATAAACCACGATTACAGAATAATAACCAGCAATGTTGTTTGAATTGATTTAATCGTTCCAAGTTATGATATAAGACACAAGTAACTGTTACTTGTCGGAAGTAGTTACACTAATACAAACAAATCTACATTTAACTTTCAAACAAAAACAACCTGGTTCAAGCTCAACATTGCAACAAATAAGGCACAATATTTTTAACTAATCATAACATAACACCTTTTATCCCCGAAGGGGTAGGCAGCGGTGCACATTACGGCACTTAATGCCACTGTACAATGTAACACCCACTTTTCATTATTTATGTTATGAGTCCCATGTAATAGGGGGTGTGCCTATTGCCATATACCGGGCACATTTCCAGACTCCGTGCTAATACTGAGGTTTTTACAAATCCAGTAATACTTTGCCCGACCCGGCAATCGAATAGACCCCTTGCCCGGCAGTCGCACTTGTGACCACTCGGCCAATGAGGCAGTCTAATAAAGTATTCAACGAATCGTACATATCTCGAATTCAATAATATCTTTGTTCATTAATAATAAAATCTCCCAGATCAGCGTCAAATTGAAGGTTATAAAAAATAAAAAGCCACAGTATAGAACGCGAACATTTTGGCCAAGGATACGCAACGCTATCGCCATAGAACCGAAAGTACTATTAACTCGTACAACAGAAAAACTTAATAGTTCATAAAGAATGGTTGCGTAATGTCGGTCACGGTTTGATCACTAAAATGATAGCTCACGTCATTTTTTTCTTTCACTAAGTCACTGGTCGAATGTACCCGACTTCACTCTTGCTTTAACGACTTTTTAAATTAGTTTTCATACGTGGAGCGTGGAACCGTTCCGGTGAGGGGTTGGCTTGGCTTTTTGTTTTAACAAAACCATAAAAGATTTAGGACTTTTGTTGTTTGGTTCTGGTGTGGTTAACATGCTTCATGGTAGTCACTGGAAAACATTGTGATATTTATTAAGACAGGGTTACAAGAATGTTTTTAGCTATTAATGTAGGCTCTATTAAACTTATCAATCTCCACGCGCATTATAACATTATGTAACGTAATTGAATATTAATCAAGACGAAGAGCTATAAAAATAGTAATCAAATTCATCGTAACAATAATTACTTCTAGTCTAGTAAAAACTATATAAGTGTTGGTCGTAACGTGGATTCTTATTAAAGCCGCTATTACTGATTCGTACATTTTATTACTCTTGTATAACGTAAAGAAAAACTATTTAGAGAGATAGAAATTACACGTAATAGACGTATTAAAACTTTAATTCTAAAATTTACATTGAAATGAGAAGACTAAATAGTACTTGGGTGGAATTAGAATTCCTTCACCAACATCAAAGCAAAGGAACGGCGAACGTTTCATTACACTTTACTGGTACATTCATAACGAAGAATAGCGTTAACAAATGCTACAAAACCAGTAGACTAGGGACAACCACGAGGATTACTATACATACGAAATTAGCCTTTAATCCTTAATTGATAGAGCTTACATGGAAGGTAGATAGTATGTCGGTTGGCTTAGTAGACGCCGCCGAGCGTGTCTATGGGAGCGACCGACCAAACAATGATGCTTGGAATGCGATACGAAAAAAGAGTGGGAGCGAGAGTCTGGGTGTGAGCAGGATGGAGAGTGTTTGACGGCTTCCGCTGTAGCATGGGGTCTAGTGACAGTCTCAGGTGGAAGTAGGGCCATGGTGTTATATCAGGTGTACCGAAACACTGATAGCGACGTATTCACATGAACACGTTCGTGCGCAGTATTAATGATAAGGGCCTCATTCTTGGAGCTCTCAAATGCTTTAACGTTTTTGCGTATATAAATAAGGATAATATCCATAACAATTGTAATTTTAACTAATTATAATTTCTCGACTAATCTAACCAATAAATTATCTATTAAATTAACCCTAACACTAATAAAATGATAGTTTTATTCTTACTGTCAACAATTATAAAGACATGGGACATCGCTTAAGCGATTACACTGTAATAATGAAGACAAAGCTGCTATCTTAGAACAATAGAGCCATTAGTATCTATGTGACTGCAATAATTATAAATAAATATCACATTAACAACAATAATAAAGATAAAATTAGACAGATTGCGACCACTGAACATATACTGGGTGATACAGTATCATTACAAACATTTAGCCTTGAAGATTACGACACTAATACAGGTAAAATAGATGCCGAACTATAAATTATTAAAGTTTCCTAAATAGATGTCGAAATAACTGCAATCGTGGACATTCCTAACATACTTGAAGATTTATCTAGAAATATTGATGCAAACATCAGGAATTATTCAAATTTTGTTTTGCATTTATGAGTTTGTTACATACATGAACATTTTAACGCTAAAAACGATTAAGAAACTTGTATGCATCTAGAGAATGAACGCAATGATAAGAATAAAATAAAAATGTCAACTAAACTTAACTACAGATAGTAACGGTTCTCATGGACGGACAAAAATACATTTACGACCTGAGATAACTTCGATAGCAAATAAAATCTCGGGTCATACTACGACACTATCAATTTACACGTAAATACATTGTTTTTGTTCAACGATAAGAACATTTAGAATTAGGATATATTTACGACAATAATTTGTTTAGTCTGTATCTTCAAGTACCTACATAACCTTTTTATCATTGAAGATGAAGTGTGAAAAAAGACAAATGATAGGATTATCCGACTTATCTGAACGATACAAATGTAAACAAAAAATAAGATTGTATTATGTTTGGTCCCGATAAATCTTGCAGCTTGTCCGACAATAACCCTGCTCAGAGTACAGAATGTAAGAGCAGTGAAAGGCTAGCCCATAGCTTTCGACCATTTCCCTCGGACCACGCTCATAACCTGCACACGAATTAGAAAACAGAAATTACGTCCAATACATTTTGTACAGCAATTTTCTACAAAATTAACAACTGAAGTGCTACCTACGATTTCATAGAAAATTGCACAAGAATTTTATTTATAACTACAATACAATGAAAACTAACACCCTCCATAACCGAGCCAGTTAGCAACTCGATACGTCACTCGATATAATTGCGTGTATGGACATTAATCAGGCAATTCGCGTGTTATCAATAATTGGGGAACTTGAAATCGCGTCAGTGTCAAAGGTAAAACTGACAAAAACATAAGACACACGTCAGGCTCGCGTGAAGGAACACCAATTAACACCATAACTCATAAGAAACTCATCAAGTGTAAGACTGATGACCATAATAAGTTTAGCCATGATCTTAACATTCTACGCAGTAGAGCTTATCTCATGGCGCGTCACATGCGATAGGAATGTTAATTATCCACGCAGATTAAGTAAAACTACATTACGATGCATTGTACAGATGCTGTGACTTTCACTGGAGAATAAAATCCGCGTCCAGGTTGACACCAATTCTGATCACAATCTTTTATGTTCACTTCATCGACTACTACTTTCTTTGGTACATACGAATTTGAAATTTACTTTCTTTGTCGGTTCTAACAACCTATTTCGTTTATCGTCTTTAATCACTGGGTGGATTTTTGTTTTGTTGGTAATAATCATAGATTGGCAATAATATACAAAAAGATATAAGTGTTTCCAATTAGAATAATATAACGAATGAGGATAATAATCATAATAAAACAATTTATTGATTTTACAAAATGATAACAAGAAAAAAAGCAATAAAGTAGTAAAATACGTAAAACAATTTGACTTGATTGTTGTCAAGACGAGATTTCCATTCACATGTCACGTGGGTCACGTGGGAAGAAACTTGAGCTCTGATTCTCCGAGCCATTTTACCGCGAACTTGCTTCGATTCCCAAAACTCCTAGCTTGCATCGTATAATAAATATGAGCACCTGTTCAAATAGTGCACGATCTTCACCCACTTTTTTCAAGTACGCATTATCATTCAATAAACATATTTTGAAACTGCGGCAATCTGCAGCATCATCTGATGATAACGCTAGTTCAGTTTCTCCCCGAACGTTTCGGATATCTCGCCAATTACCGGGCACAGCGACGCATGACAGATGCGTCTAAAACGAAAGTCTCTTACTGATTAACATCGACATTCCTTTCGCTTTGTTCGATGTATTTATTTAAATTGAAACATTTACTTCTCGTGTTTGCATACTGCTCCTGCGATTTATTTACATTGTCATTCAGTGAAGGAGATAGAGAGTTTTGTCTGGGTGCTGTGTATATAGATTTTGATAATGAAAAAGTTAATAATAAGGGCAAATATTATTGTATTATTTCTGTTTTGTTTTTATTATTTTAAATATACAAATCTAGCAGTAGGTTCTTTTATTAAAAAAACACTGGAGTTAAATTGCAAATATGATTATGGCACTTTGGAGCAGAGTAAACAATAAAACAATTATTTAACAATAACAGTACTCAAAGACTCAGAACAACTTAATTCATTCACTAGTTAAGTCGTAAAGTAATAAAAAATATGTGAGTTTAAAACCAAGCGGTACGCTGTCATAACTATTGATTTTACATTTTTTGTTTAAGTATCCAGCTATGTTTTGCTGCCAACAAAATTATACGTAGCAACACACATAATATGATATGTATAAAGTAATCGAATATCTGCGTGCTTTTAATAGATATTCACAAGTCCTACAATGTGTGCGTATTAATGTTTGATATTCGGTATTTGGAGTTAATTTACTAATTTGGAGATCCGATCGTTTTGCTCGGCCGATTCGCCTTGGACCACTTACGCAACCTCAGTTACTGACGATTCTATTGACATGACTATAAATCTAATACTTATACACAATTACACGCTATAAACTTTAGTTATTACGTTCTTATGTTCTACTTACGTGAATTTGCACTTTAAGTTGATTTGATCGTTTATGTCAAAAAACAACAATTGCTCTATAGATTATATTGATCTTTGCTTAATAACTTCCTACTTTGCTATATTTTTTACAACAACCGTAGTTATGTTGCCCAACACAGGTGTGTTATTGTAAGTTGTACGTGTATTTATGTCGAAACCCACTCAATACATAATGAATTTGCCCATTGGAATGTAGTAATGGCCCGGTGTTTCGCAGGGGACTAGCTTGGGACCACCGCTTTTTATAGGTTTTGTGAAATTAGTTATCGACTCTCTAACCTAAATTCCTGTAGTGATAACTATTGATACTGATGTACTATTGATACAGGTTGTGAAAGAAATACTTATGTTGCGAGATATCGTAAGTGATAAGTAAATATTACCTAACAGGCTGTTTTGTCGGTTGATGAGAGTCAGAGCGTGACGAGAATCGTCTGTTGATCGAAATTTGGGGTAACTGTCTCGGTTGTACAACTTCAATTGTAGTAAATGTTTAGTTTTAAATTTTCGATTGTTGTACAATATTATAATACAAAATAAAGTGTAAGAGACTTACCTCTAGCCCAGCCGGTGAGGACATTTCCAAGATACGCCACTTTGTACACAGGATCGGGATCACTGATGCGCACACTGTTTGTGCGACGGAGCAGCTTCCCGATTCCTCGAGATAACCGACCAATAGCCCGCGCTGTGAAGTCTTTGCCAGATGCAGCATCAGCTAAACAACCTTCGGCTGGTAGTATCGACCGGGTCTGACCATTTTCCTGGATTTTGTGGCCTATGAGTCTCGGCATAGTCAGTGGTAACGACTTTTTCTTCTCTGGAGTCAGGGTCTTGGCCTGGTTTACACTGTATACATTACAGTTCTTCTTAAAATTCTGACCATTTACTTCTTTGGTTTGATCATTTTCTTCAGTCTTATCTGTTTTGTCAAACTCGGTCGTTTTGATTCTGCCGTTCAGGTTCTCATTCAGGTTGTTATTGTTTATATTATCTGTAAACCCATCGCTGAACCGACGTTCGGAACTGGAGCGCCTCTTCATGAGAGACGGGTTCCTCAGCAAAATGCTCGTTTCACTAGAACTTCTGTTCTTAAGAATGTGTATCTTCTTGACCCGTGTCACTGCACAGTCGACCTCGTCAGCACTGACCATCCGTTCTGTTTTTCCTTCCTCATCCAGGAAGCGAACTCTAAGTCTGTTCGATTTACAGTCACTAAGTGTTTTTTCCGACTCCTGGAGACGTTCTGATTGATTTTTTGCGCCTGCATCTAAACAGTGACGCTCGTTTTCACTCAGCGTTCCGCGAGCCATTTTTCTTCAGAATACTTCTCAGTGTTTGTTGGCACTATCACATTATGGCCAGGGAACTCTACACTGAGGTGTTTGCACAAGTTTCTAGTCCACGGTTCTCTCTCTGTATCACTGTTTACTTGGAAAAGCTATACACAACGAACACCGAACCAGTCACCACCTCGATAACTACTAAAACACACACAGAGTAGTATACACCTCGTCCATTAAAGAACGACACCGGTTTGGAATGTAGCCTTCTCCACTTACTCAATGCACTTGTCCGTTTATAGGAGAAAATGTTAACAAAAAGACGTATCAATTAAAATATCAGTTGTTTAACTCAATGAAGACACTGCTTCAATCGGTACGTGATTATGTTTATTACACTAATCAGTCACTTTGTAATATAGTATCGGAGCGAATATCGCGGGTGCGCGGCGCGTGCGCGTGCCTGGGCTCGCAGCGATGGAGTGGCGGTCTGCGGGCGGAGCAAGCGGCGGTGCGCGGGCGCATCGGTCACTTGATCCCAGCTTTGATTTTAATGATCCGACTACTTGTATCGCTGCGTTAACGCATCACTGTCCGCACCATCGACCTGGAACAAACAATAATCGTCATGTTAAGTGTCATGCTGGAGCTCACTTAGTGGTAGGTACTAATTTTGTTATAATTATATCAAATTTAATTTAAGTGAGTTTAAAGTTGAAACTTGTCGATTACTTAAGAATAGGAGAGGAAATATCGAATAAAAATTGTAAAACAAATAATAATGTTATATTTATAAGTAGTCGACCCAGTCTTTATAGGTAAACACGAAGAAAATAAACGTTAAAAAACAGACTAATTACACGACATTACGTGACTTATTGAGAAAACAATGGCGGTGACATCAGACTCACCAGCACCACTGACTGGGTGAGTGGAGTCGTGAACCGTGCGTGATATTAATTTGTGGACAGGTGCCTCAGTCTCATAAAGAGGAATGACTCCTGCTAAATAGAGGCGAGAGGAATCTTTTAGCTTCTTATCCTTTCGATGATGTAGGTAATTTGTTCAAGACTGTTTGCCCATGTCACTGTAAAGTACTGAGCTTCTTCAATTCGATGATTTATATCTTCGTTATAGGACTCTTTTGTATGAGATCTATTTCAACAGTTATATAATACTTATGTGGAAAAACTACCCGTTGCCCCCGACTTCGTCAGCGTAGAATATAAGCTTTAAGACACCACTTTTTTTTGTTTCAATTTTCCATAATTAAATTACCTACATCAGCTATATGCCAATACAATTCCCGTCAAAACCGGTCCAAAAATTTTAAAATATGTTTATGGTATGTATGTTTATATGTGTCCTATGTATGTTTTTTTTTATACATGTGGTAAAAGCGGTTATTTAAATAGTATAAACAGTCACTCCAATTTTATTTGTCTGTGTAGATGTAGAAGGATATTGCAGTTGACCTTTCAGTGAAACATAAATATCCTCACTCCATGTTTATTTTCCTTGATGAAGTAACCTGTTGTGTAGTAATTGTTCTTCTTGCAATAGCTGCAGTGGGTTCACAATCTATGGCTTTCTAAGGTTTCTGTACGAACAGGGTGTCTGATGACACTCTCTTATAACATTTACTTTTTTCTAAATGCTTTTGGAGTTTTATTATTTTATCCCGAGAAATACCGTTAATGGATAAATTGCTTAGATAATTTAAAAAAATCTCCCTGGACTGCAATAAAAGACTTTATTTATGAACAAACTCCACAATAGTTTATATGGAGTTTCTATTGTATTGACATAAGTTGTCTGCAGTACGTATGAGAGTATTGTTATTCAAGCTGTTATAATATAAAGAAAATAAGACTTCATAACAATATGATATTGTCGTGTGCAGATGAGAATCCCTCAGTTATAAGTCACTGTTATCATTACATCACCCAGTTGTTGAATGTGAAGCCTTATGTAACGGTTCACCTTCGATCGACTTGTTAGCCTCTCTGCTTGCGACAACTTTTTGTTCGTCACCTTGCTGTAAAAAAGTGACAATACTTAATCGAATTTCACTAAAGAATTATTCATCATTCTGTGTCGACCAAATTTCCTTTTTCTGATGAATGGGAACGTCTAGGCGTTTCCTAGGTAATAGGCTAAAAATTTTCCTTTGAACAAAAAATGTTTTCCGTCTCCTTGTAGTCGAGACAATCACAATAAATGTTCTAGATCGACATCACTTGCTGTTAAAATGCTCATTGAATCGGAAAATAACATTCCTTAGCATTCGATTAAATCTTTATTCTTTGAACAAATCATTCATTTTTAAAAATTGTGATTATCTCAATTGTTGGGAAAATAACTGAGTAGTGTTGTTTTTATAGGAGAGACAAAAACTAAATTTCTTCTGTGAAATTAATTTAATGATGATTGAGAACTGACAGGTTGAAGTCATTCAACACTGAAGCAAATACTTGTCTAGCTAGACGGGAAAATAAAATGACGTCAACTTTTAGATAATTTATACCTAATATTAATAAAGTCCGTTACTGACAGTATAGCACAATTCTTAGAAAATTTTCATAAAATTTTGCTCATTTTTCAACGAACCTTCCAATTAATTTGGGGTTGGCAATTACTTTTAACAAGATCTGGCAAAGAATTTGCATTTTCCTCTACTATATACACTCTAAAACCTACTTCAATATACTATTGATGACTTGTAGGCGAAGTAAAGAAAATCCTCAAGAAATTGAGAAAGGTCACTCACAGACCACTCTAAACCTAGTTTAACCTTTAGCGGTCGTTCCGCGAGGCTATAAACTTAGCCACGACTGCTCGAGCTCTCTCTCGGGCTCATAAAACAAAGACTGGACATCCTATCCGTTTGTACCAACTATTGTTATTGATACTGTCCTACCAATGCCACCACAATGGGAAGTGTTCCATTCAAAAATTGATGTAGATATTTGTTCAACTAGACCCGAATCCATTGTAAACTTCTTGAAAATTGTTATTCTTGGATTCTAGGTAATATAATACTGCTTTGTCAATTATATGATAAGATTATTGTTTAAGTTGTGAAAAGAAAAATACGCATTGAATATAATAAATGTTTTGATGTCGTTCCTTAACGACCCGAATGGCAGAATAAATAAATTAATGAATGCACAAATCCATTGAGTGTAACACCGACACAAAATATTCTATCATTTGCATAGTAACCACTTGAAGTTAACGAGTTCACAATTCACATAAAACAAAATAAAAAATATCTAATCATAAGCTATTCAGAAGAGATCTGGAGTTTTTGTCGAGTAAATTTTTCTCGTTGAACAAAAAGTAGTAAAATGGCGTCGACGAGGTATATACTTACTGGCTATTAGAGCTGTGACAAAAAGTGCGTATGTAACAATTTTAAAACAATTTACTTCATTTGTAATGTTTTTACCTTTGGATTGTTTTAGAGTTATTTTGAACGATGCGCACTACGGGAGGTCGTTTCCACCGCCAATTCACCTCTAACTGGCAACGAATTCTTTTAGGCACTTAATGGGTGTTTAGTTAAAATATTATGTCCATTGAATGACAACACATCATTACCTGACTGTCAACTACCCAAACTGACTAAGGTAATTATAATTGTTTCATAACCTGAGTCCCATGGTGTTTAAACGGCACTATGGAGTGTTTGGGGGGGATTTATTCCAATAAACACACTTTTATTTTAGATCTAAGTATCATCAGTCATGTGTATCAGTGTATGCCGTAATCATGTTTATATGTAGACGTAGTGCCTAATAAAGAGAAGACAAATGTAGTATAAGATAAGTTTAGTTTTAAATAACATGAAATTTAAGTCTGCATCAGTAAGCATAGTAATGCATCCAACTAATCGATAAAAATAAAGCTATGATAGTATCCAAGAAAAAATTTCGACAATAACTATCAATCCTATATCATTTTGAAAAAAACTGTAACTATAGGTACATCATTCTCTATTTATCTTTTTCCTTAACGTAGACAATATTAAAGAATATCGTCTCCTATAATAATGGACGATGAGGATCTGATTTCCCCTGAGGTCACAGAGGTCGGGCAGATGTAAATGAAACCATAAATTAACATTCATACATATATTAGCTATGTTTTATATGGTTGGTTCAATATAAATATTTTTTCCAGAGTCCGGTTTGAGTAATATGATTGTTGAGGATAATTTGATTGTTTCTTAGCATATCAATTAATATTTAATAAGCAACTGATAATAAACTACGTTTAAGAAAACCGATTTCAGTTTATATAAAGTCAGTTAATTAATATACTAGTCTAAAACCTTCTATTAAGTGTATCAAACACTATTCTGAAAGCCGCATCAAAATCGGTTCGCCCAATCGCAAGAAAATCGCACACAAACATACAGGATAAACTTCTCAGTTTGTCCTCAGAGGTTCTCACCTCCTTCCTTTTTTGAAGTCTATTAAAAAACCTTCAATTGTTTATATTATAATTTTCGTGGGACATACTAAATTCAATATTATGTTTTCAGCTTACTCACGTTTGACGAGGAACTCGACTAGTTTCAAGTCATGCTAAAGGCTCATATTCGTGAGCAGCAGCAGCAAAACATTCAGTTGGCCCAAGTTCTGCCCTAATGCCATAATTATCTACGTCTTACACAACATGTAACCCAGTCTTACGTTACTTACACAGATAAGTAAAATAGCCCGACCACAAGTCTTCATAACCAACAATCCAACCGAATTTAATTACTACTTGGAGCCGATTTGAAACTGGTTTCAAAAAGTACATACATAGGTACTTACTAAAGTATAAATATGAAAAAATCTGTTCTCCAAAAGTGTGGGAGTGACATTGCTACACCGATATGAGGTTTCTATTACCTACTACTCTCTGAAGACCAATAAATATTTTTATATTGAGCAGAAGACTTTATTTTTAGAACGAACCTGAAGTATGGCAATGGGCTAGCGTCATATTACATCCTGAGGACACGGTGGAACACACGGTGGGAGAATGCCCTTCGTGGGCTGAGCACCGCCGTGTCCTCAGGGAAGTGATCGGCGATGGCGACCTCTCGCGTCCGGGCCTAGTGCGGGCCATGATGCGGAGCGAGGGGGACTGGGATGCCGTCTCCTCCTTTTGCGAAGCAGTCATGCTAGCTAAGGAGGAGGCGGGACGCGTGAGGCAGCGAAGCGCTGCCTCCTCGCAACCCAGCCATCGCGAAGGACACACCGGGCGTCGGGGATCGCGGGACGATCTCCGGCCACCGTAAGCGCGGGCCTGCGGACGGCGAGCATGGGTGGCTCCCCGTCCGACCAGAAACAGACCCGAGCGTACGGCGCGTCGCGTTCCGCGCGCGCCTCAAAGAGCCATCAGACCACCACAGATGGGGCCCAATAGGGCCGATGCCGATTCGGAGTCGCGGAGAACCTAACGGGTAACCGGGGCTCCGGCTCGACGTGCAGGAGAAGGAACG